TTGGTGTCAATCATACGGCTCACGGGCCGGAACTGGCCCCCAAGGAGGTTCGATCAGGCCCGCAAAATCATTTTAAAGTGAAAAAATGCATAAAAGACACGGAATGAATATTTTTAATAAGGTGCAATTCATGGAGTATCCGCGAGGGGGAACACTGTTTTGATCAGAGTAGAAAACAACATTGTTTTGATCAGAGAAGATAACAGCAGTCTCAGTCTGCCACTGAGACAGACCCAACACAGCAGACGCGATCAAGGATATGTGAATACTTTATTCTTTACATATTTAATAGCACTCTCGTTAGTTTGTAAGGTGCAGGCAGGGATTAAATTTAGAATTTATATGCACATGCGTAAATGGTTTAAAAATTCCTTTCTTTATAAATCTGGTTTAATCTTAAAATGCATTACTGTATTTTTCATTCAATACCAATTACTTGTTAAAGTTTTGTGCCTTTGTACAATCAGTGGGATCAGTTGCAATGCATATACGTGAATGATGAAAGTAAATTGCACATTTGTCTAAGGAAATCTAAGGTGCTTCATGAAATGTTTTGTAAAAGATATGTTCATTAAATTTCAACATTTTTCAGATTTTCTTGTGCTTCTTAAGACCAAAACAAAGGAAAGACATGTTATTTTGGTTATTTATAGTAGAGTATGGTATCATTTTAATGGTCCAGCCCACTTGACATCTACTGAGGCCGTATGTGGCCCACAATGTGAAATGAGTTTGACACCCCTGCTATACACCTTAACGTAGCGTGCTAAATTATAATGTGCATTTCTTTGCTATGCCAGCTGCAGTTACCATTGACGACTGCACCACCCTTACTAATCTAATTCTCGGCTCAGGTCTGCTGAGGATGACTGATGAAGGTGTGGCAGCAGCACTGTGGTGGCAATTTATTATCGAGGACGATGTGAAACATTTCTTCGTGACTTCAACACCTCACTCTATTCAAATGACAGATGTTGTCTTTTCCCTCTTTAACAGCCCCCCTCCGCTCACTCAATCGCCTTCATTGACCTTCTCTCGCTGCTCACCGCTCCGACTTCTTGCGTCTTCGTCGGGCTGTCAGCTCTACGGCTCATGCATTTCTACAATCACAATGCCTGACTTAGTGCTCCACTTCTCGATTTGCAAGATTGCTTCACAGTGATGATACGGTATAAGGGGCAGGGCCCTACCAGATCCAGCAGAGGGTATTGATTTTGACAGATGGTGGAGTTTTAGCAATAGGTTTGCAATTTAAAAACATATTTTATCTATCTATCTATCGATCGATAGATACAGATATACCAGGACGCACTGGTGAGAAATGAGCTTCTTGAACAAGAGAAAGGCATTCATGGAGCAGGGCGGAAAACAAGGCACGAATGGAGTCCTACTACTGTTGCAACACCATTGAGAGAGGACATATGCAGAGAAGATTGGATGCATGGATTCTTTGGAACCCCACATCCAAATTGAGCAAGAAACAATTACGGGCTCAATGTTCAGACATCAGCAGTAGGAAGTTGCTATCACAGCTGGAGATGGATGAGGTACCATGTGCTTTATCGGTGGTCCAAAGATGCTCTGGCAAGGGGGATCCAGGACACAAGGTCATTAGGGGGTTGGGTTCACTATCACCCCCAAATATTGAGAATGGTTTCCTTACATTGCAAATTTCTCCATTGTGAGACAATAAAGCCCATAAGCAGAACAGCTCATCACAAGAGCGGTTCATCTGAGAGAGAAGCTCATAAAAATCCTAGGGGAACTCAACTACCTCCAGCCTGCCAAGGCTAAAGACAGAAGTACAATCAAAATTTCAACTGATAAATCGGCTCATGTATGTATCAGTTTTAAATTCAAACGGTGTACAGTACATTCAGCATATCAATCACCAGCTTTGGCATTTGACTCAGCATGACTCAGATTTGTTCTTGGTTTTGCTGTTCGGTGCTTTCTACCATCTTTGTTACCTATTTGTTGTTTTGCTGTTGTATATGTTAGTTGCTCCATGTACAGCACTCTGTATACAGCGATGGCTGTTTGAAAGTGCTCTATAAATACAGTTGAGTTGAGTTGAGCTTTGAAGCAACTTTCTTTAAAGTAGGCTGTGCTTTCCCCAGCCTTGCACTGTCATTTACTGTCCTATTTAAAACTATTAATTTTGTTCTTAAACCCCCTCAGCCTATTTGCTCAGACTCTTGACCCGTTTGGCGTACGGGAGACGGTGGTTCGAATCCCGCCTGGGGCAAAAATGAGCACATAACACCATCCAGTGTGGGTCCTTGGGCAAGATCCTTCACGCTATGCCTACCTCATACAATGATGAGAGACAATAAAATGAATGACATGCCGGCTCAGACGTCGCCCGGCCAAACAAGGTCTGCGTCAGGTGCTGGGGAACCAGAGCACCTTGATGAAAAATGGGCTACTGGAACAAAGCGGAGATGGGCGAGATGCGATAACATGGCTCTGTTGGA